ACTTCATGCCCTTCCTAACTACCTTAGGTATCTTAGCACCTTAGATACCTTATATATGTAAGTATGTGCTTCTTGAGGCTTCTTCGGCCGTTCTCCCCCCTTACTAGTCCTGACTTGACTACCCAGGAGTATCCATGGAAGATCACTCCGCCCAGCTTTTCGAGTGGCCCTCGATGGCCACGCGACTCCGGCGAGACAGGGGAGGAGAAAGTATTGTACATGCCTTGCCAAACAAAACGAACAGGGCGACCGTACCACACTCACACACTTGGAGAGAAGCCCCGACAGGGCGTTACCTCAGATGGGAAACCGTCATAACCTGCAGCTTACCACTGTCTTTGATTATTGCGTTACTCCACGACAGAGCGAGGTCGTGTAGCGCCTCTCCGCGACCCCAGCTTGCCATTTCGAAACCCGGTGTGTCCATTGGGCTACTTCTATGGGGAGGTAGGTAGGAAATCACTTCATGTCATGATCCAAGCTCAAGTACTTGTCGCAGTGTCCTGGTTCAGCCATGACACACGTCTGAGGCATTCCACATCAAAGCTCATTACTTGACAAGATGATCCCCACCAGATTCTGTCGATTCTAGGCCCTATCCAAGTGCCCGGGAAATGTGATCGATTCAGGGCCAAACCATGTCGGGCATCATGTCACGAATGGAGCAATACAGCCGTGTGTCCTCTTCCCAGGCGAGACAGGAGCTCTCTGGGGCTGAGGGTCTGACCTACAGTGCTAAGCGTCCCGTCCCAACGACTTGGGTCCCGCTAGGATATGGGGACTGGAACTGGGCGGCCCTGGCCGGTCAGCATCAGCAGCCACTTAGCTAGTCCAGTCCCGTCCAAACATCATTTCAGCGGGCTTCGATTTCCTCGATGCTACAAAGCCGCTCTTCTCCTCCGTGGACCTTACCAGGCGAGCCCCACATACCTAGCTTTCTGTGTCTTGTTTCCAGATCTTTCAGTCCGACTACCACTGCTGGCTCTTCACCGCATTGACGCCCAAACCTAATGATCCATCGATCATCGATTGGGCTGTTGGGCAGGCGTCGTGGTCCCCTAGATCCGAGCCACCCTAGCAGGTTTAGCTAGTCGTCATATTGCATCTCGGCTAATACCAGGCCTCTTCCCGGGGGGAAGGTTGCGGGTGGGAAGCAGCGGCTGCGTACATGCATGCGCAATTCCTCTAATGCAAGGACCCAAGGCGCCTGGTGCCATCAAGCCACTGCGGCCAAAACTGCGACCATGAACACCACCTCTTTCATCGAAAAAGCAAAAAAGAAATCCCACAGAACGCTGTCCCGGAGGCCACTCATTGGACTCCCACAAAGCGAGTGTCTCGATGGGACCCAACACGCAACGGGCGCTCGAAAAAGTCCGACGATGACAACACCACTGACTTGCATCCTCCTCTCCCCGGGACAGCCGATGAAACCCGTGGCCCGTGGGCCTACAAGCTTCCATGAAATGCCTCAAATTTATGTCCTCACACAAAATGACTATCTCGGGGGGCCAGTGACGAACGAATATTGATAAACACTCTCATCGATGGCTCATAGATCAGTGAAACCAGCATGTAATTCAAGTATTCGTAAGATGTAATATTCGATTATCTGGGCCACCGCCGGCACCCGCTGCCAAAATTGGACAATCTCAAAGCCTATGACAAAGCCGACCACCACTGCAACATCATTTCACGAAATCTCACAGACGTTCGAAACCAACAGCGAACCCAGGCAGAAGTTCATGTCACGCGCCACCTCCAATTAGTTTTGCGGCCTGAGAATCTACTACTATGGCGTTCTCACGTTGGGCTCCGACTGCAACCCTCATTCAAAAACAGTCGCTGCCCTAGCATTTGGATCGCCCGGTTCTTTTCCTTTTCTGTAGTCGGGAGTCGATTTCGTTATCACGAGGTTCACTTGCCGTCCCTCTACAGGATACGACAGTGCTACGCGCTTCCCAGAAAAGTAGACCGAGCCTGTTCCAGGCCAGCAACCTTGACGTCGTTGACTCGCCAAGAGTAAGTCATCGAACGTCAGAATTAAAGTGAGACAACTCTTCAAGGAGATGACGGAAAGAAAAAGGGGCTATTCTGTGGGCTTTAAGGACAGTCGCCAGAGCAAGGCCCACCGCTGGCTTCAAGAAGCAACGCAACCTTGTGCAGTACGAAAATCTTGCCGAGGTGGCTCTTTAGCCCGCTCATCGGCTCTAGCTATTCGATGATCTGGCTGCCTAGGCAGCTCCGTCACATCTCAGTGGCCGACTGCATCATCGAGTTTTGCAGACTGTTATTGTTGATGCCTCTTACGTTTGAACACACTTCAGGCAACTGGCTATATTGTGTCAAAATGAGGAGCGAAGTCTCCAACCTCCTGAGACAGTCTTGACAACAAGTCTAGAAGAAACCTCAGCTAATGACACATGCACAACTGTCACAACGAGAGATTCAGAAATAGAAGTCGATACTGACAAGGACATGCACCAACTTGTTGCAAGCCGACGAGATGGCTCTTTCCCTCCCAGCACTTGAAAGGACGCCACGAATGCACTCCATGCCAGTGCCATAAAATCCTGTCCGTCTATGCAAGACTCAACCTTTCTGGTAGTCTAGCTCCGCAATAGAGTCATGCAACTTTCCCCAACTTTGCAGAAATGGGCATGCGTTCGGCCAGTGAAGACCTTAATATCTGTGCGGTGCAGTGCTTGGGCACAAGTTCATCAGTGTGACGAATGTTAAAACATTAAGAAGCCTTGTCCCTGCCTGAGTTTGGACCGGTCACCGGGCCGTCCCTCGCAATTCACTAGTGAAAAGCCCGGCCTGCCAACCTAGTGAACATGTTCACTGCAGGTTTCCAAGGGTAGGTATTCCTGGCGATCGCCAAATCTCACACCAACACCACTGGAGTGGATTAAAGCACTGCCAGTGTCCACATTATGCATGTAACTGTCCGAGCTCATAGGGTCATTCATCTCAAGTTCTCAATGCTCCTGCATCTGTCAAGTCGAACGGTGAATAACAAGCAGCCTTACCTGCAGGGGCCAATCTTCGTTGGTCCACAACGGCTCTATCAGATGCAGATCGGCATAGGTTGAAGAGATTACCTTAGTTCTGGAGAGCATGTTGTGCATCTGCAGCTGCAACTAAGTGCAGCAGGCTTGCATGGCGCGGAACTACAGAACAAAAGCCAGCCAGTGGTCAAAGACAGAGTAAGGCGCGGTTCCTTCGCCTTGCCTAGATGTGACTTGTGTGCAGCACCCGAATACCAAGATTGGGGTGGCAATTTTGTGACGAGTAACACACAGCTGGTAAGGCGGTATTGAGGTGGCACCCATCTCATTATGCGGGATGGTATGTGCTTCCGGGGGAGCGTAGCACAGCAGAAATAATTGATAACCAAGATTGATATAGGTAGCAGCAGCTGAGCTTCCGTGGGCCGTTTATTGAAATCGAAATTAGTCTCACGAAAAGACATGTCGATCTGACCCTATTCACACAGCCTCTGTGAGATCTGTTCACTTACGGTTACTGAAGAGCCACTCGCATCTAAACCCTGGTAGGGAGAGGACCCTCCCTTGGCCTCGACCTACTCGCGTCTTTGGATGACCTACCCTACGGAGTGACTGCTCACTTGGTGTGATCCATCGAGGGGCAACCTTTTGGGCTCCCCCATTGCGAAGATTGGGCAGCAAGTATCAACAAGGTCAGGGACAAGGCTTCGAGCAATTTCCGCGCCTTTCGATGTGAACTCTGGCGCCAGAAATAGCACATGCGTCCTTCGTCGATCATGTGTCTGGGCATTGATCCGATTCAACGGAACGGGACGCGGAGGTAAGTCTCGCAAGCATGCCTTCGATCCCCTATTATTTTCCTTTCCTGTGCATATTCCGGTGCCTGGCCATGCCTCGTTCCATTCTGGCCGGACGAGCACTACAGAACGCCACAGTTCATGCGGAAACCGTCTCCATGCAGGAAATGTTCCCGAGGCGGCGGCGGCGCACCACTCGGGAGCCTCCAATTTCTCGCAGGCACCCAACCACAGGTGCCAATTGCTATCCGACGAGAACTCGCCCTGAGGGGAGGCGGCACACCCGCCGCTGTCGAAGAGCTTGAGCTTGAGCTTTGTCAACACGCGCAGCCTCATCTGCAACAAAGGAGCACGTAATGGGGAAACGGATGGTCCGTCGATCGGCGACCATACGACCCAATTTCGCAGTTCGTTCTGCTTCAAGTAAGGTTGCCGTGAAATATTATTGCGGCAGGTCTGGTTGGTTCAGGTCTCCAAATATTCTCTTGATGGCGAGGCGCTCTCGGCCTCGGCAGATTTACAATTGGATGGGAATTATGTCAAATCCATCGTGATTGCGAGGTTCCAGGATCCAGAAGATGCGCAAGTAATCGAGATTGTCGTTTCCACGCAAAGGGGTCCTAGCGGGAATTTGGGTTAGTCACCAAGGTGTTCCTAAGACGATGAAGCCATCGCACATGCTCAATTGGGAAAGTTCCCAACTTACGACGAGTTCGAATTGATCTCTTATCATCTCTTGTGATGCCTTTGAACCGACGGCCCATTATCTCCATTTTTCCTGTGTCGGCTCGGGCGAGTAACGGCGCGGAAGGTAGGCCCGCTTTCCGTTTAGAGCAGACATAGTGATGCGGAGTCTCAGGCGCTCGACTCCGGTTTGCGGGAGACAGATTGCTACAACGTTAACGACGGCGTATGCTAATTAAAAAGGCCACAGTCTCTTCGTTCACCTGTCTGAAGCCACCTCAAGCTATCTCAATCACAGAATCGGCAGTATCTCAATTTGGGACAGCGTACAAAGCACGCAAGACTCAAGTTTCATATCAACGTCGTTGGATCTCGGGCCGTGTCAAGCTCAATTCAGCCGAACTGGACTGCAGATCTTGGATCCGAATCCTGACATAAAAGGAGCAGAAATTCAAATCGGCGGATTCGCGCCGAACCTCGCTCACAGGTCAATATACGAAGTGTCACCATGGCAGGCAAGGCGTTCGAGGAATGGACGGTTGAGGAGCCGTACCTCAACATTCACTGCAGTCTTGGCGAGGGTCCATACTATGAGAAGGCGACCAACACGCTGCGTTTTGTCGATATCATAGAGCAGCGCATACATACTGTCAGCCTCACTGACGGACCCGACTCTGTAAAGACGCTTCAGCTGGACAGCCCAGTCGGTGTGACTGCGGACGTAGAAGGTTTCGATCCGCAGGAGAAGATACTCGTAGGATTGAAGTACGGCATTGCACTCCTGGACCGGAAGACGGGCAAGTATGAATATCTCACCAAATTTGCCGCTCCCGGTGACGAGGACAATGATCGACTGAGAGGCAATGATGGCAATGTTGACGTCCACGGCCGATTCTGGATTGGTTCCATGACAGATTTCAACAAGGGAGACTTTCGTCCTGAAGGTAAGCTATCACAGGTTTCGCTCCTCTATGCGCAAGCTAGGGCCGAGTTTCAAAACATTGGGAAATCTAACTCACTGATATGTTAGGCCACCTCTTCCGCTTCGACGGCGGTAAGTCGAGGGAAACAATCAAGGGTGATATCACTATTCCCAACAGTATCAGCTGGTCGCCGGATAACAATATTCTATACTTCACCCACTCAACAGCAAGAACTGTCCATGCTTTTGACTACTCAGAGGATGGTAGTGTTTCCAATGAGAGGGTCTTCTATCAGCACGATGGACCGGGCGAGCCCGACGGCCACCGTATCGACGTAGATGGAAATATGTGGCATGCTGTGTACGGCGAGAGCCGAGTCCTCAAGATCTCCCCGGAGGGCAAGCTCATTGGTCAGATCAATCTACCGACAAAGAACATCACCTGCTGCGAGTTTGTTGGTACGGAGCTGTTCATCACTACTGCTGGCAATGCCGATGGTGAGGGCAAGAGCAAAGACTACGGGGGTGCGTTGTTCCGCGTGGATGTTGGTACCACTGGACTCAAGCCATATCAATTCAAACTCGCCGCATAGATTCTGCAATAAAAGCAGTTGTTGGTTAAAAGTCAGGGCATGTCACATCGAAGCAATCCTTGATAAGGTGTGGCACAGCGTGACCATGTGTAAGCCCAAGGAAATAGAAATCATTGCAGACTACATGAAACTCATCTTAATATTCAATATCTCAATCGCTGTGCCCCTTCTATGAGTGCTTCAATGACAAATATCATTCATCGTAGTCGCCTTGCACATACAGGATCGATCATTTTAGACTAGACATGGTGCAATATTCTGGTGTTGAGGTTCTCATGGCTTCAGCGCGTACATTCTGACTGGAAATAGTTCCTTAGGAAACCCGAGCTGTATTTCAGTCTTGATCAATGTTAATCCTGCTCCCTTGAACAGACTCTGGAACTTCTCGTCGATCCTGGGTATATTTGTCAACTCCAGAAGCCGTGATCGGTGATGGGTGTTTGACCGGCACACTCACCTCGTCACACTGCTATCCACCTCATCGAATAGGTCCGTACCACTTGTGCTGAGGTTTTCCTTGACGACGATGAGGCCACTGTCGGGCTTGAGAGCCGTCTTGCACCGTTCCAAATAGTGGATCAGTTGCTCATCCGTCAAGTGTCCCAAACACCACTGATTCCAAATCAGATCGTATTTGACATCATCCTTAGGACCCCATTCTTCCAATCCGATGTTATAGATGTTTCGAACGCCGCTCTTACCCCTCAAGCTGTCGGTGAACTTTGCAATCGGCTCCACTATGTCTACTTGCTCGGCGATGTCAAGGAGAAGACCTTGTGTTATCCTACCGATGCTGTTCCTGGCAGTCAGATACGGGCACGTGGGTAACATCAAGCCGCGTTCCTTTCTACGTACCCGGCGCCACCTTCCAATGCGCTGCTGACCGTATGTTGGCCATCCTTTGTACCAATACCGAGCTTTGCAAGGAAGTTCCGGGATCCCTGGAGGTCGACCTTTGAGATGTAGGGAAAGCCTCCGAGCATTCCGTTCACGTCTGCGTCAATGCCCTGCCAGTACTGTCGACCGTCATCCTTGCTAATCTTCGTATCGGCAGGTAGTATGTCTTCACCTGGTGCAGACATTGTGCCGGGTTGGGAGTCTATTGGCCAAACAGTGTGGTCGGAGAAGCCGTCATCTCATACGAAGGGGGTAAAGTCACGACGCCTCGAGCGATCTTAAATGGATACTTCCAGTTTTCCAGTCCTGACCCTGCCTTACACGCTATGCAAGATCGTCACGTGCTAATCAATCATTCTTTCCTACGAGGAAATCGCATTGGCAAATCTAATGAGATCAGGTTTCATTTATTTTCATTGCGACTTTCGCACTCAAAAAGATGGCACTGAACCATGATTCGAAATGACCACGACAAAGTGTCGAGTCTCTGCCTACCCACTTGCCAGCACCAACGATTTGAATGACCTGGATACACGACCATGATTCTGAGCGTAGAGAAATCTCAACCTGCCTACAATGCGTACAATATCCAATTATTACTCCACATGAAGCAAGCACATCGCAGCATTTTGGTTATATTGAAGTTAAAATGTGGGAGGCCGGTCTCCGTTGATTACCATTACTTACCTAGGTTGACCCCACGGCTGGGTTATTTGTTGTGGCTCATTCGCAGCGGGGTCGATTTCTGTGGCTTGTCCGCCGAACTTTGGTGGCTATAGGTACCCACTTTATTTTCGCGACAGGCAACAACATCCTCTCCTCCTACCTTTCATGACCATCCACACGTTGTCATCCCTTCAGTGACGCTGTATCACAACAGCTCATCAGATGGAGATTGACGCCTATCATCGCACCATGCTGCCCGAAGCTAGCAGTGGCAATGACTTGGAGGGTGTATCAGATTGCGAGCTGGCCTCGCTATTCGGAGACGACGAAGATGGGGATGGTGCTTCCCTCTTTACGGAAGACCCATCCTCAGCAGAGCATAATGCTGCTTCACAGTCTCCAGCGGGCTGGTCCTGGTCAGGGCCTGGCCCATCAGCCATTTCCTCATTTCCAGAACACTCTCATCAAGAGACCGCGCTTTCTTCGCCATCACCACCTTGCGGAGAAGTGCCACTTCAACAACATGATCAAGTTAGTACCCAGAATCCTGTGGTTTATGAGCAGACTCCATCTGAGGCCGATCTCGAGATGGAGCTGCAGTTGCAGTTGGAGCTGGAGCTTCAAGAAGAACACGATATTGACTCTCCTCAAGCAGAGACAATCGTCGGCCATGACGCTCAAGCATGTCATGCTCAGCCTGTGGAGCGAGTAGCGACCGAGCAGGCTGTACCGGATCGCCCGAAATGTCGTCCTGCTACCCGCAGTAGTCCCCTTCTACCTCCACGGATTGATCTGGAGTGCCCCGACATAGAAGCAATATTGCCTTGCATCAACCTTCGTAGGTCGATACCCGTCCCATTTTTGTGCAGACTTGCTAACTTGTCTGCAGCAGCTAAAGGCTTGACCAATGCTACCATATTTGAGCAACTCGGACTCGATGCAAAGCGCGGCCGCTCACTGATGGCACATGTCAAAGAGTATCTGGCCCAGCCTGAGCACACTATCCACCTCGTTGGCCAACAGGATCAAGACTACCGACGGAAGACCAAAACAGCCCTCATTGAAGCTGCTCTGACTTTACTGGTCATCAATTCGTGGGGTGAAAAATGGTTCTCTCCAGCCCCCTTCCACTCTCAGGATATCGATTTGCTCTGGCCTCAGAATTCGACTGAGTAAGTTTTCCTCCTGGTACCTATAATAACGTATATGACTGCTAACAGCTTTGCAGGATTTTCTATCGCTTCATTCCCCTTCTGTACAAGCTTGCTCGCAACGAATCTCAGCGAAAGTATGCAGCAAAAGTAAGGGACAAAAAGAAAAGCACTGTCGCACTCGCTACGTCACCAGCACCATCTACGCCAGGGTCGTTGGGTGCCCCAAGCCCTAAAGCAGAGTCGCCCACAACAACACTGCACATGACAAATCATGGCAGCTCCCAGTCCAGCGGCACAATGCATTATGTCTCTATTCGTGTAAGTCCCAGCACGATCCGTCCGGAGAAGCGTATGTTAAACCTTCCTCAGACACGTGAGCCAGCCCAACAACCTGATGGATATGGAATCCTGCCTGAGGGGCCACCATTAAAGAAGTTGAAGAAGGACCAACCCGCAATGGAGAACACTGGTTTGCCTGCTTGACGTACGTTGTGAACGTCATGGAAGGGCTCAGAAGAGTTGTCCCGCCGATCACACTCCATCATACTGATGGCCGTCGTACATCGATCTTCTACACACTCTTAACACATCTTGCCGAGAAAGGATTGTTCGGCATTATAGAAGTGTACACAGCAGAGGGTATGGCGCTCATTTCTGACGAGGAATCCTGGGTAGCTGCCATCCGCGCCGTGGACGAGGACGAAGCTATGGACAGGACAGTGCGTGTGCGAATCCAAATAATGGAGCCGGTCGTTTTCAGTTAGTGAGACACAACGCGCTGACGCAGGCAAGTTCGGGTGAGGAATTAATGATTGTATGAATTAATTATAGGAGGAAGACATTATGATGGCTCTCGAAGGAGATGCATTCATTGTCAAAATAAACGGACTGATGTCTGATGTTCGAGAAACTCAGCTTGGGTTCTTTTGGAGCATATTGCGATACTTAATTAGCAGTCATTTGCTATCTGACAACCAATGCACGCTCACTTGGTGCTGTAGGGCTATGATAATCGCGATGCAGCTATACCGACAAAAGTGCCTTAGTCGTATGCTCCCTGCTTGGCATGAAGCTTGGCTGACATAAAGACACAAACTACCAGTCTATTCCCGCCATTTGTACAGATTTCTAACCCTTAGATTCCTTCCCAAAAGCCACATTCTCGTCTCGAGGTTCCCCCAGCTCGTTCTGCGAGACGTCCTCATCCTTTCTCCTCTCCTTCTCGAAGCCAGCATTTCTTTCCCTGTCAGTTGCAAGTGTGCTCGACGAAAAGGACGCCGCCGCAGAAGATGAAGAACTGGACGACGCCCGGCTCTCGGGACGCATGAACTCCTCTTGACGAGAGGTTGCCTTCTCTTCGTCACTGGGAGGCTCCGGCTTCAGCCCTGTCGGCGCGAACCGTGACTTGATTCGGATCCGCTCGCCGTACTTGTAGAACGCAAAAGGAATGATAGCCAGCAGCGCCGCGACGCCGCCGATGAGAGAGCCGCCGCCGCCGACGCCGAGCGCATCGAACATGTAGTTCGTGAACAGCGGAGCAGTGGAGCCCGCTGCTGATCGGCACACGGTGTTGGCGGCAATGGCACTTGCGGCATACATCAAGTAAGCGTCGACGAGATCTATGAAATACAAGGTTAGCGAGCTCTTTCCCTCTACCTACTAATAAGAGCTTGGAGTGTCTTACAATTTAGATATGCAACGAAGATCAGAAGCATAAAAGTGGACAAGAAGGCGCCGGCCATGGTTGGCACGATCCAGTGAACAGAGTTGTAGTTAGCAGACCAAGCCAACCAGAACATGCAAATAGCAAATCCTATCCCACCGACCATCGCAAGAGGGAGTCGGTCCTCGGGCTTCATCTTTCTGCCAGCCTTGACCTTCTTCGCCTGCTTGTGAGAGTCGATCAATATGAAGCCGGCGCCGAGGAAAGCACCCAAGATGGTCCCGATCAGGGGCAGCTCTCCCACGCCAGGATTCCAGCCCCTATGTTCCTGGAAGACAATGGGATATATGGAAAACAGCATGTAGAGAAGGAGGTAGACCATGGACATGTAAATGGCGCACAGGAATGATATCGTGTCGAAAAGGATGATCCATGGTCGGGTCAGAGCGATCTTGTAGACATTGAGGAGAGACCGATCAGTGTCCTCGATGGGCGCCTTGACATCCTCGTATCCAGGGATCTTGGCCTCTCTAATTCGTTCCGCCTTGTGCATGAGAATAATCGGGGCATATGTCTCGGGTATCGTGAACATGAGGCAGGCCGAGATACCGCCCAGCCATAGCAGGACGTAAAAGCTCCATCGCCAATCCTTCGTCATTCCTAGGAAGCCTGAAATGACGGGTCCAAGAGCTGGTCCTACCCAGACCATACAGCTGAAGCCAGCCATTGCATTGGCTCTTTGAATGGGGTTCCATATATCGGCGAGTACTCCAGGGCCGTTGGAGAGTGGTGCGCTCACGAAGGTCCCAGCGAGAAAACGTCCGACCAGCAGCGCGCCGAAATTGGGAGCGAAGGCGCAGAGGAAAGTGAAAGCAATGTATATCAGAAAGGTTATGTAAAAGATCCATCTTCGTCCGTAGAACTCCGACAAGGGAGCAAAGACGAGAGGACCAGCGCAATAACCTAATAGAAACAGTGTAATTGTAAGGCCGGCGACCTCGAGCGAGACACCGAACTCTTCCGCTATACTCTGTATGCTTATTAATATTCGAACGGTCTTAGATTATGGGGTGAACGCACCTCAAAGCACCCAGAAGGACTCGATGATGCAAATGTGGCATTGACGACCAAAAGCACGGAACAGACGGTCACGTACGACCTCCTGGCCATAGACCAATTTTGTGGAAATTCAACGTCGTCCGGTTCAAAGTCAACATGTCCATCGTCGTTAAGATAAGGCGGGCCATCGTGAGTAATGTCTCGGTTTCGATAAGGCTTGGCTGTTGGCCGCGATAATATTCTTATAAGTCCAGCCATAACCGAGATAAAATTCAAGACATTGGTCTATCAACACGGCTCACGTCTTCAAAAAAAATACTATGTGTTGAAATTCTTGGCACGTAGGGATTCATGTCTAAATACCCCTCCCTCTTACAAGGCTGGACTTAATCGGCTTTACCACACACAGACACACACACTCTGATGACTCTTCACCCCCTGACCAACCTATCTAAGGTACCTGGGAGCGGATGCTTTGTAATGGGGGTCCTCCGCTTTTGACTTTGTACCGAAGATCGCGAGCTCAACGGGAAGATCGGCCACGGTCACTATCTACATCCGACATCTTCAAACGACGTACCGACATCCGGTGCTCTGCTCATCGAAAGGGCGGCGCTTTGGGGCAATAAATCTAACAAGGGTCTGTAGGGCTCAACAGGAAAGCGATGTGGGAAGCTAACCGGATAGCCTGCCGGTGTTGCTGATCATTGACTATCTCGGTATCATCAGCGTCCTTTTGGTCTTGTTAGTCATTGCCCCCCCAGGCGAAATATCAAGTGCCGTAATGTCCGAGAAGACGTGATTGTTTTATGAGTGGTTGATGTCATTCTACCTACAAAATTCCATGATGGTGTTTGGCTGTCCGAACATGGCATTTCTGAAAGGAGTTGGAATTGACGCTGTGCTGCTATTGCTTTGAACTACTCCTCCGCCAGGGTAATAAATGTTAGTTCAGCAAGGGTGTTATTATCTCCTCAACAAGGTATTACTATCTTTGTGGAAGTTGATAGACATAGAGTAATAAACAGAATATTCGAGAGCCTCGTGAATTTTACGATTCTCAGCATTGATTATCTCCACCTTTAAGAATTAACGTTTGTTACCCTGGCCGAGGCGCAGACAAAGCTGCTGGGCGTAAGCTATGGGTTTGCTTGCAACTAGAGACAGGTCGCTTCGTTAAAGCATGTCAGTTATCTCAGAGAGTATCATTCGTAACTCCCGTTAGAGTAGGCTCTTCCAGCAAGTCAAATATTGTGTAAGATAGATTATCCCAGGAAAGCATGAAGTGTTCAGGATTTGTAATTCAAGATACATTCGAAGGGGGACACCACCGAACATGCATATTGTGCCAGACACGGTAGAAGCTCCTACGTCATGGCAGCCCGCAAGCCACACCTCCCCACCACCAGCCACAGAGATAACAGTGCGATAAGCAAGCCAAGAAGATTTCGAGGCAGCCGCATCAGTGGATCAGTCCCACCTTCGTCAACTTCGACGTTGCTCATTCACCATAGGAGCAACCGCGCAAGATGACGGCTCCAAGATGACAGAAAGGGATCGCTCACCGAAGAGGGTGAGGATAGTCTCAGCTTTCAATCCCCTACAGGATGATGATGATCGTCAAGAGGCGAGAGATGACTGGACGTCGCCTCCTCAGCGACCTCCTCGCTCGACATCCCGCGATGGCGCACCAAAGGACGAGGTAGTCGCGGAGCCGCCCGCCGAAGCCAACGCCAGCAGGTTCCGCTTCAAGTCCAAGCACTCAAAATCGCGCCGCCGCAGTTCTCGCCAGCGCGACGAGGACGATCGTGACCGCGACCGCGACCGCGACCACGACCACCGTCGCCGCGAGCGCTCCCGATCTCCCAGCTCGCGCCATCACCGGCATCGTCACCACCACAGCAGCCACCACCACCACCGGCACAAGAGGCGGCGCACGCGCTCCGCCAGCCCGCGGGAGGCCGAGCCCGTCGACCCCCACGAGCCGCCGCCGCTCGACCCGGAGACGGCGTTCCGCGAGTCGCTGTTCGACGCCATGGCCGACGACGAGGGCGCGCTCTACTGGGAGGGCGTGTACGGGCAGCCGATCCACGTCTACGAGCGGGACAAGGTCAACGAGCAGGGCGAGCTGGAGAGCATGACGGACGAGGAGTACGCGGCGTACGTGCGCCAGAAGATGTGGGAGAAGACTCACGCCGGCTTGATCGAGGAGCGCGCTCGGCGGGCACGGGAGCGGGAGGCGAGGGAGAAGAAGGCGGAGGAGGACAGGAGGATACATGCCGAGATGGAGAGGAGTCTGAAGAGGGGCCAGGAAAGGAGGCAACGACGGGTCTGGCAAGAGCGCTGGAGCGATTATCTGAAGGGCTGGACTGATTGGGATGGCACGGTGGCCAAGGTCCCATGGCCGGTGCAGAGCAGCGACCGAAGAGACATCGACGAGAAGGAGGTTAGATCCTTCTTCGTCAGAGGTCTTGACCTTGAGGAGCTTGGAGAGACCCAATTTGCAGCGAGACTCAAGGATGAAAGAGTCAGGTGGCACCCTGACAAGATCCAGCAGAAACTCGGAGGTCAAACGGACGAGGCTCTCATAAGGGACGTCACGGCAATTTTCCAGATCATTGATAAGCTCTGGGCAGATACCCGGCCAAAGACGACCTAAACCACGAGATATGAATCAAAAACAGAAGATACCCGAGATATCATTTCCAAATCGAAACGTTTTATTATGCTAGGCTCCTACATGTGGTTTGCTGAGATCTACGAAGCTGCTCTGTGTTGGTTGAGACATTGTGTGCAAGACGTTGCTCTTCCCAGACACTCACCAAATTCAGCTTGCTTGGACAGGATGGTCAACTAATTGCTCAGTGAAAGATGCAACATCTTATCTCACCCATTAAGTTGAAACAACACACGGCAAATCTGCAATCTTAACATATCCACAGTTATCCGTGCGCGTCTGCGAAACAATCGGTTCTGGAGCAAATGTTCCTGAAACTCGGGGAGGCGGCTCCCCCAGAAGCAATGTGTGGCTGGACGAGTCTTACGCAGCAAAAGCAAGGCGGTGATCACCACAGCGGCACAAGACAGATTACGATATTCATGATATTTCTGGTTTCATTCATGTTATGTTGTCATTATTACGGAAGTATCCTTTCCTTGACCTATTCCCATGATGCAGTATGTGCTACCCGATCCCATGCTCCAATTAATGCCGTAGCCACACAAACTTTGGTATCTCTTCACATCCGTCAGGGCGGATGAGTGATGTATCTGTCGTTTTTGTCACATTTCGTCTTGTTTACAGGTTGGCCATCAGAGCGGCGCCGCCGAGCAGCGCACCCATGCCGATGGCGGCAGTCTGGAGCGGGCCAGCATTGTCTGTGGCGCTGGTCTGGGCGGAGCTGGCGGCGCTCTGCACCGAGCTGACCTTGGAGGCGCCGGCGCTGCTCAGGCTGGCGATCTTGGAAGAGATGGAGGCGGAAGCAGCAGAGCCGGTGGCCGTGGCCAGGTCGGAGGACAGGGAGGCAATGCCGGAGCCAATATTAGAGGTGATGGAAGCGATGTTGGAGCTGGCGGCGCCCTCGATGGAGGAGACGAGGCTCGATGCCTGGGAGGCGATGTTGGAAGCCTCGCTCTCAATAGAGGAAACGCCGCTGGCTATGGCACCAGTCTCAGTGGCAGAGACAACGGGGACGGTCAAGTCTTGAGCCTGAAGAAGAATTAGATATTGATCACTGTTCATGTAAATGAACTGCAACATACCGCGCCGAAAGAGGCGAGAGCCAGGAGAACAGCGGAGTACTTCATCTTGAATGTAGGATTGTAGAGGTAGGAGAGTAGTGGATAGATTTGAGGTAGGATGAAGAGTCTCTGAGGTGAACAGAATTAGGATGGAGGTTTGTTTGGTCAAGATAATGGAGAACTTGAGCAGAGAGGAACGAGCATCCAACAGATACTTATAATTCGAAGAAGCAACAACAGCTACATAGTTCTCTACCTAGCTAGAGTGGTCCGATTGCAGGTGACCCAGACAGGCAACCGGACGTAAGAGATGCATCACCAACATGCAGCTTCGGATGGCGGCATTGGGGAGCCAGACTTAGATCGGGGGAAGGTCCACCCAAATCGTCATTCGCCCAGCCTCAGCAGGTGGAGAACGGGGCCGTCTCCAGGGAAGGAGAGCTGCAGGAGTGATGCTAACAGCTGAGAGGGCATAGGCCAAGTCGGAGCACCGGCACATCGAGCCTCAAGAGCACCAACCGGTCCAGAAGCACGCAAGACGCCTGTGGCACGGGTGGCACAATGTGGCTGGTGATTGCGTTGGCCCTGAGGGAGGCGGGTCGATCATCCTTGGTTTGGAAATGTTGCCATCACTCAGGAGGGACTACTGCACAGTAATACCAAGGAAGGACTTTGGCCAATTGGTGGGTTTAGTCTCGATCTTCCCTTTTCTGGCGATGGCGATGGTCGCCATAACTGTAAATAGCGTATGGCCTAGACGAGTCCTTGTCTTTGCTTGGTCGCTTTACTATAGTGCCGCTTTTCTTGTAGAGACGAGGGCTGGGCTGAGCGAATGGCCAGGCCTTTGGCCTTGCAACATTTGCGTCATAGACAGCGGCAGTCCGTTTCAGAGGCAGCTTTGGTGGAGCGGCCACTAATCCCGGCCCTGCAGCCCCGCGGGTTGGCTGGCCTAAGGCCTGGAGCTGCATGCCTAGCCGTGCTAGCGCATCCTGTTTGTCATAGAATCCTGCGCCCCGAAACCCGCTCAGAAGAGTTGGCAATGTACGTACAACATCCGCCACCAAGACGGAACCCCAAGTCAGCATCTCGAGAATCGACTGGCCTGCCCCGGAGCGGCCGCCAGAGGGAACCTTATGCCTTGCATACTCCACTGGCCCACTGGGGCACTGATGATGTTATTGTTTATTTGTTTGTTTGCTCCGATGGTCTCCGTTTGTGCTCCCTAAGAGTCAATATACTATGTAGATGTTGGCGTCACACGCCGTTAGTGCCTGCGTTAGAAGCTGCAGGCTGCGCGGATTGGAGCCAGGATGAGCAACCTTAATTGGACGCCAGGCTCTCTCTCACACAGTAGACTTGAACAAGGCTCTCCAAACAGGTAACTGACCGGGTGCTGGAGAGGGCTTGTTAAACGGGCAACTTCCGTCTCCTGCAACTTAGCTTCTCGTCTCAGAAACCTGGCTGATAGAAGGACTATTGCAGACGGTGTGCTTCAGACGTCCCGGTATGGGGATATTCCTTTCTTCAACTCCGAGACAATCTCGGCAGCTTCGTCTGCACTTCTCGCCTCAAAGTCGTATCTCTTGCTCTCCGTGGCTTTGAAAACCAGTAGCTAGAAATGACGGATGTTAGCTCGTCTGACCCTGGTCGTGAAACAAAAACGTTGCACAAACCTTGAAATTCGTCGGGTGTCTCCTCGACACCTTGCAACCAATTACGTTGCTGAAATGTACAGTTGTTGTCTTCCCACCGCCATCCACCAGTGCTTTGCCCGCTGACGAGGGCACAATGTGGACATACTCTCCATCGATGACGAGTATTCTCTCGTTCATGGTAGCGAACCGCATCGTCTGTTTCCGCCAGACCACGTACTTCTTGTAGTTGGCATTGCCGAGCTCTTCCTGCGCAATTGCTTCCTTGGCCAACGGATGGCTGCCCATCTGGGCCTTTTTGGACTTCTTCGCGGCCTGAGCCTCCGCGAAGATTAACGGCCGCGGTGACGAGCTGCTCGGTGATCCGGTCAGTGTAAGAGGGCCGTCTGTAGCGAAGCGCCGCCTGTAAAGCTCGAGATCCGAGATGGCCCCAATTGCTGCTACCGGGCGATCTAGCAGAACGAGAGCGCCCGATCCGGGTATTTTGAGGACATGATTGGCCTTGTCCAGCTGCCTCTTACGGCAGACAAGGTCCAAAACTTCTTCCATGTAGGTGTCGGTGGTGACATCGAGGGTGACCATCTGCCCAGGAGCGATATCTGAAGAGAGGATATGAATGCGCAGTAGCTTCTTTTGTCCTCTTGTTGTGTTTTGCATTGGAGCGGATGGACGTGGTGCATCAGCCAGGACTGTATCAGACCGCCATGTAGTCGTGATAACTGGGTTGCCCCGCGGTTCTCTGGGTGCAAGTAGCGACGGGTTCAACATTGGCGTGTTTCGTGGTGTGATTTCCTCATCCTTGGCCTCTTCAGCGACCTCCTCTTGGTTGAATTGCGGCGTGGCAGTTTGGTTATCCTCAAACTCATCCTCTGAGGCCTGCACCAGCGCAAACTCATCAAACACCTTGGTATTTGACCGCCCTCGTCCGGGCCGGCTGCTTGGTGCCGAGACAGCTTGCGGGCGAGGTCCATCCTCCTTGTTGTTAGGTGCAGTCACGAAAGATGTGAGCGGTTTCGTCCGCTCAAGTGGCGGGAAATCATCATCCACCTCACCACCTTCCTCCACCATCTTCAGTGTCCACCAGTTGACATTCAGCTTGTCCGCCGGGAGAGAGGGCTCCAGCTTCTCCTCGTTGTAGCGCCACAGGCTAAGGCCAATTGAGTCGGCAACATTCACAGGTCGATCCCCCGTATTCTCCTCACGGACTGTTCTTCTTATCATGACCTCGAAAGGCGTAGACGCCGTCTTCGAGAACGGAGCGTAGATACGTAGCATAATAGGATTTGACTCCCCCTGCCCTGAAAGCGTCGCAAAAGTCTCAAAAGGCATTGCCGGTTTCGTCTTCTTCGCGTTCAGAGCAGCGGACAACAAGCTCGTCGGCTGGATCATGCTGATAGGCCTGATGGTGCTTAACGGCCGTGGCGGCGGGAGCTCTCCGACAACCTGCGTAGGCGGTGGCATATGTGATCTTCTGATCGTTGACGCTCTGCGGAACTCTCGTGGCGGTGTGCCAACAACCTGCTGCGAGGGTGCAACGTTCATGGTCGGCATGGTGTTCTCATTGGCGACTAGAATGGACGCGGAGTCAATGCTCTCGTTGAAAACAGAGGAGATATCCGATCCGTCAGAGTCTTCCTCTTCTTCCTCGAGCAGATCACTCTCTTGCCTCTTGATACCCATCGTGGGCTCTGCGTTGATCTTCGTCTGGATTCGCACAGCCTTTGCAGCTGCCCTAGCGGCCTCCCGTTGCCGATGGAACCCAGAGGCATCGAACTCGTTCTCTGACGACACCTCGCTGCTCGTCACAGTGTCCCGCCTCGCCCTCTCTTTGACCGTCTCGAGAGCCGACTGCGAGCCCCGTCGCGGCGGCGCCGCGCGAGGCGACGAGGCCGTCGTCATCTGCCGCAGGTTAGACGACTGGATGGGCGACGACCCGGAGCGGTTCCGCACGGGCATCTTGGCAAATTTTATCTGCTGCGCGGCGCGCTGGTCCGCCTCGTCGTCGCTCTCGTCGCTCAGGTCGCTGCTGTCGTCCTCCTCCATCTGCTCGCGCCGCCGGCGCCGCTTCGTCGCCGTGCCGGGCCCCAGCGTGTCGGCGCCCCCGCCGGCGAGCGTGCCGCCGCCGCCGTCCTCGGGCTCGTCCTCGAGGGTCAGGCCCGCGGCCCGCGGCGCCTGGAAGTACTCGGACGCGACGGCCGTGGGGATGGGCGGCGAGTGCGTCCGCTTGATGAGGGACGGGTTCGTGCGCCATCCTGCGGCCTTGAAGGACGCCGAGTTCAGGAAGTTGTCGTTGAGCGTGATCAGCCGCTCGCCTACGCCGTCGGCGATCTCGGTCAGGTAGCTGGTTCGTAGCTGGTACGAGACCAAACTATGGGTTCATCTGTTAGCTTCCCGTATACGATGCGCGCCTCGATTGCGTGGGTAGATCTTACTCCTCTACCTGAATCATAGACATAATGAAGACGTGCGCAACTCCGAATCGAGTATTTGAAATGAAGGAGAGCGTTCTGCGAATCGTTCACAAGCTGTACGTACATGGACCTGCCATTGCGCGTGAGTGTGTAAGTGCTGCGAAGTTGGGGTTGCGGTCTAAGATGGTCAGCCTTGTAGCCCCTTCTCGTAGCGTAGTGTGGGGGTTTCAGCCACTAGCCATCTATTCTACCTAGGTACTTATCACAGCCTTGCAACTTTTTGAGCCACACCACCTCAGACTACCAACAACTTCCTCCTTCCAACGCGCTGTTCGCCGCCAAAAAATACTAGGGCGAGATGGGCCTCGTAGACTACTCCGACTCGGAATCCGACAGCGAGGCGCCGCAGCCAAACGCGAAGAAGCCGTTCCAGAAGATCGTCGACCGATCGCATCCAGGCAAGATTCTCGTCAGCCTACCGCAGACCGCCGCCGCAGACGAGCCGGCGGGGAGCGAGGAGCCGGCAGCGAAGCGCATAAAAGTAGGAGGAAACCGATTCAGCGGCTTCGGCTCCTTTCTACCGCCTCCCAAGGCCGCGGGGAAACCTCCACCTGCGCAGGGCATTGGTGGTGGCAAAGCGGCACCCCGGATTGGCGTGCACCTGAAGACGAGCTCGGAGGCTGCCTTTAGCAGAGATCTAGGCGGAGGCGAAGACGAAGAGGATGGCGCGCAGTCGAATGGGTCCGGTTTGAGCCTGCCACCGCCAAAAGCGCAAGCTCAGCCGTCGATACCTGCGGACCAGAAGCCAGAGGAAGAGGTGAAGCTCGTGGGCAAGCCGTTGATGTTCAAGCCGCTGTCGGTGGCGCGGAAACCGGGGAAGAAGACCGCAGCGAAGGCGGGAGTAGGGAAGACAGCCACTGCGCAACAGAGTCGGACTTCAACACCAATTGCGGCTCCTAAGGAGGAAGTGAAGGAACCGCCAGCGAAGAGGAAGAAGGTGTCTCTCTTCTCGATATCAGACGAGCCGCCTACAGCAAGCACACCTGTCGTAGACGAAACAAGCTACGAGCCTCTATATGATGGCTATGACGACGGCGCAAACGGCGTCGCCGACGACCTCGACAACTATCAGTACGACCAAGCACCGCCCTCCACATCGTATCATCCCACCACCACCACATCCGGCGCGGAGTCCCTCGACACCATAGCCGACGACCTGAACCTGTCGGCCGCGGCGCGGCGCGAGCTCTTCGGGCGGGGCCGCAGCGGCGCCGGCGCGTCGGCGTCCAAGGTGGTCAACTTCAACATGGACCGCGAGTACCAGCACAACGAGGAGCTGCGGGCCGCCGGCGAGCAGCAGACGTACAACCCGGTGCGCGCCATCGCCCCGGGCAAGCACAACCTGCGGCAGCTCGTCAACGCGGTGCAGAACCAGCGCGAGGCGCTCGAGGAGAACTTTGCCAAGAACAGGGAGACCAAGAACCAGGCGGCCGGGCGCTATGGGTGGAGGTGAAGCCGCAACTGTTTTGTATCGTGTTTGGGGGCTTAGTTTGAAGAGATACCTCGGGTACATAGGCCTGCATGGCGTGGGGCTGTCCACAAATAAGACAACTTTGATGGCGTTATAAGTCATTCTCGCTGAATTGTGTCAAGGCTGATACTGTGCAATTGTAGGTAAGCCCCTTAGGGGTATATGATTGTTGTCAAATCAGCGCTTCTATATGACAATGATATCTATGGTATACAAAACGCTATATCCGCCCAATGCAAGTAGGTCTAGAGACCGGTATCTATCTTTGTAATACATGTCGTCATGAATATATGTGTGTATATGTATGCACTGTTCCTCTGCTGCTGCTGCCACTGCTGCTCAGCACGTCTCTACAGCAGCCGTCTTGGCCTTCCACGAGTCGCCCACCATCAGGAACCCCCACTCGCCCCGTGTGGTGGGCGAGATATCGTCATAGTCGTTCGGCGTCATCGGCCCCATCTTGTGCGGCGTCAGCGCCGAGACGGGGCTGAACATGACCTCGTCGATCGAGAAGGAGTTGAAGAGCGGGAACGCCGGCCCGCGCGTGTTGCTGCTGGGCCGCGCGGTCAGCTCGGCGTCTGCATCGTCCTCCTCGTCATCGCGCGCGATGTCGTGCAGCTCGATGTTGATGGCGTCGCCGATGGTCACCTTGGGCTGCGGCGGTGGTGACACCTTTTTGGCAGGCTTGTCAAAGGTTGTCTGGAGTCTAAGCGCGGGGCCTTTGAGGCCCGGCGAGGGTGTTTTGTATGGTGATGTTGACTTGGGCGGGATCACGCTCGGCGTTGGTGTGGGCTTGGGCGTGGGCACCGCCTTGACGGGCGTGATGACATCTTCGGTGTCGTCTTCGTCGTCCTCCTCAAAGTCTGTGACGTCGCCCTCCTTGTCGGACCCGAGCGGCTCCTCGGGGAGGGGCTTCGGCGACATGGGCTTCGGCTTGACGACAATGTCGACGTCGTTCTCCAAGCCAGAGTCCTTCTCCGGCCCGCCGTAAGCCCGGCGATACATGCGGCTGACGTCGCTCAGCGCGGCGTCATTCACGCGCAGCCACTCGTACGAGCGCAGAAGCAGGCTCTTCTGCAGCTTGCGTCGGCCATTAGACAGGACGTAGCGGCGGAGCTCATCCACGGCGTCCTCGAGACGGAATGCGGAGCTGGTGCTTGTGTAGCTGGCCAGTGCACTTTTGAATGTGTACAGGTGATCAAGTGATAGGAGCGTCAAGCCCTCTGAAGAGAAAAGCACCTCATTCTGGACGATGGAGCGGTGAATTAGATATGGGGACAGCCCATAAGTGGTGGCAGAAACAGGCGCAGGGAGCCAGTCAAGTCTGTGAGATGTCAGGATGAGTCTCCTATTATCATGAGGGGTTTTATCTTACCCGATGCGGAACTTCTTCTGGGCCCTCTCCATCACCTGCGAGAGGACCTTCTCCATTCTCGGGTTCAATGGAGAGGCATGGACCAGCTTGATGCCGAAGACGGCAGGGGCAGGGAGGCCACAGGAGGCGTCAGTGCCAGTTGTGGACGAGGCAGTCACAGATGTGGCAGGCGTCGCCGGCGTCCTTGGTGTCCTCGGCATGGAAGCCGGGCTCATTGGCGAGAGAGGCCATCTTAGTCTAGGGCTGGAGGTTTCGACTGAGGATGTGGAAGAGGCAGGAGAAAAGATCGGTGATACGGTCTTGCTCCGCTGAAGAGGCTTGACATCGGATCTGCTCTCGAGAGATGCCAGATTGGGATGAGTCCCGGACCTGACGAGCTGCTTGATGGCGGCGACCGGCGCGAAGGCGGATCTTGGTGTGCTGACTGCTGAGACTGGAGCAGGGGTGGCTGGGGGTGACAGTACGCCGGGTGAGGGCATGGGAGAAGCCGCGCAGACCTCAGGGAGTTGGTAGTCTCTGCGGACGACGACGAGAGTGATGTGGAGTCCTTTGCGCGCCAGGCGTTTAGAGGCGTAGTCCAGCGCCGTGGTCATGTGTGGAGGTAGGTGGCGGGCATCGAGGATCGAGGTGCCAGCCTCGAGGGGGGATGAGATGCGATCCTTGAGAGACAACATGGTGCCTTGTGTCTAGAGAGAACAGCTGATAAAGAAAGACTCTAGAAATGAGGGCTGAGGGTGCTGTCTGGTGGATCGTCGGCAGCAACGTCAGTCAAGCAAGTTGCTGTTGAGATTGACTTTCAAAGTCGTCTCTTGATCCGTGAGCGGTGAGGTGTTCTGATGTCTTCAATGTCATCACTGGAGGACGCTATGTTTGAGGAGCGAGACGGAGGCTCTGATATATGAATTCGGCTCCAGAGATCTGGAATTATATTTGGAGATGAAACAGGGCGTTAGGCCAGGAACGAGATGAGATCTAGCTGCTAGGAGGAGGAGGAGGAGGAGGGGGAGAGAGGGGGGAAGGGGGATAAAAAAAGCAGCAGCGGCTACCAAACGAAACATGAAACAAGATGGAAATATCTTCTGGAAATGCTTGTTTATCCCCCTCGTTGTTTCAAGATCGCCCGCCTGCCGGAAGCGGTACCAAGCCCTGGTGAGGGTACAGTAGGTAGAGCAGATAATGGGACCTTGGGACATTGGGACATTGGGACGTTGGGGGCCGGAGGCGTTCGTGGCACCCCAGCCAGCCCAGGAACCGCTTTACTGTTCTAGATACTATCATCATCATCAGCCTGCGTAAGGCGAGGAGGGATCATGATTGGGTGGGGAGGGGGTGAGGTAAGGCTGCCCTTGCCCAGGCGTCCCCTCTCCACCTGCAACCTGCAACCTGCATGTCACTCCAGTCCCAGTCCGGTACACAAGCGGTCAGTCAGTCAGTTGACAACGGCACAGAGAGGGAGAGGGGAGAGGAGAGAAGAGAGAGGGGATACATGAGAGAGATGCGGGCCTGTGCCCTGGTCGCGTTCACACGTCACTTTACGGTCTTGTAGACTTGTACGCCTTTGGAGGCCCGGCGGCTACGTGTGTCTATTTTGAGCCCATCGGCGGGGGAAGAGGGGGGATACTACGCACTACCTGGGTACTGTGCACTAAGGCCCTGGCCCAGATTGGCTCCAGTGTTTCCCCAAGTGCCGGCCCCTCCCTTAACCCCTGTCCAGTAGCTCACCTACCCCCTGCACGGGCGGGCCACAGTGCAAACGGCCACTTCGCAAGAAAGAGAATGCGCAACTCAGTGTGTTCAATCATGAGGGGACATGACATGACATGACATGACATGAGTGTGTTTGCGACAAAATGAAGCTGGCGTATACGTACAGACTCAAGATTGAAGAAAGGGGTAATATCCTATCTTAGAGGAAGACCTTGGGTTGAGTTCAAAAGAGTACTGCATAGTACTCCTCTCTCCGGCGGCCACGAGCAATGCAGGGGTCTCCCGTCTACCTTACCAAGATAGATCGGCCTTGTGTGCTCGGACAGGGATGCTCGTGCATTGCAGATCCTCGGTAGGGCACACGGTTGGACAACCTCTCAACAACCACCGCCAGGACAAGAAAGAGGAAAGAGGCCGGTAAAAATAGAATTAAAAATAGACAGACAGGGCAGGCAGTCAAAGATGACCGGCTGCGGCCAGCCCTTCAACCAGCTGCATCCTCCCCCCGTCCGTCCATCCATCCATCCATTCACACCGAAGCCATCTCGGAGATTTTGTGCCTCTCTCTGGCCAGCCAGCCAGCCAGCCAGCCATCGTCATTCAGCTAAAAAAAGGGGAGACACTGCTACTGCAGATGCAATGCCCAGCAGGCCAGTCCTTTGGGCCCCGTTCTATAAGGGTAGGCATTATTACCGTACATATGTCACCGGCCGGTCCATTCTGCGCGACCACATGTCGTTGGCGGCTACGTCCGTCGATGGGCCATCACTTCTCGGCCCCGTCTCTACCTAGCTATTCCC